ATTTCATTTCGTAATATGCTGCTTTTAGTGATGATGCTCTAACAGCTTAATATTTCGTGGAATCTTAATTTCTCAACTATTATCTTAATCTACCTAGATGGCTTCTTAAAATCATCCAACTATCCATTTTTCGTCGGCCACTAAAGAGAATTTTGTGTGTATAGATAAAAGTGTCGAAATGCATTTAGACAAAAAGAACAACTATAACGTAAAAACCGCATTCTTGCCAGATGAGAGAATTGTTTCTTAAAAAATTAAAAAATGATGTTTCACTTCCAGACAGCTCTAATCCCAGTCGTGTTTTTAAAATCGAAGTAAAATCAAATTATACTTTTCTCTTACCGAAAGTGTTTCTCGGTGAGCACAATTTGCTAAATGTTGGTAATCCTCTCTGAACTTTGGGTCTATTTTCCGTGTCAAAATCGCGTGCTAATGCCAAACACTTCATGTTTTTGCTCCATCTGCTCTTGTTCCATCTAGAGGTTGCATTTCGCTAATGGACGCTCTTAATTAAATAATGTTGATTTGCTCGGGATAATCACAACCAATTATAACCTACAACAATCCAATTATGTTAATTATAATGGTCCAAAGTAATGGAGTATATTAATTTCCCGCTCATGTTATGAGTAAATATCACGCTACGGTCTGCATTCTTTGTCTTTTATAATCGAGTTCAGCGGTTCGAATATCTCGTTTGTTTGATTATAGAACAGGTCCTGTATAATATTGATCGGATCTTCTCTCATCGATCGTTGAAATACAAAGCATGCGAAAATTTGTGCCTAACTATATTGGCGTAATAAAGACCGCGATGAAAGTTTCTTTTGAACAGTTTAACAAAGTTAGTAAATAAACAAGTGGTAATATAAATAATTCTTTTATAATTTTCGCTTTCATCTCTTTAACATCAACAAACCTATCCAATTATTCATTGGGGTCTGGAGTGTGTTAGTCAAAGTTTAAAAAAATCTTCGATAACGAACCACCAACCAATTCTTCGGCACTATTTTAAGCCGTACCTCTATTTTCACATCATAGAGCCATTTATTTCGGTATATTTGTTTGGAGAGTCGAATTGAGGCACGAAACATTAACTTTCTCTGTTCTCGGCGAAAGAAAAAGGCCGACCAATTTAACAAATCACTTGATGACTATTAGAAGATTAGAAATTGCTTGTAAAATGGTTGTCGTGGAGCCATTTGCCATCATCATTTTGGCTACAACTGCCAGCCTGCTCAAGTTATGGGCGAGGCAGAATGCGTAAGTTATGCCTGTAAACAGACACTTTACATAACGAGATGCTAACCCCAACTGTGCCCTCTGAGCCGCAAGGGACCGCTCCGAACAAATCTACTCCTAGGCTGATGCCCTTCGAGATGTTGCCGCACACGAAGGGCGTAATCGTACACCTATTTGGAGGAGGAGGACACCCCCAGGATGTCGTCATTACGCAGATGGATTTATCGCCATGTTTTCGGTTTAATGGGACGGGGCCATCGATTCGATTGTATCAAATTTACTTTTCTTCAATTAGAAACAATCAACGACAATAGACATGTTATTATGGAACCCTCGGGAGAAAATCGATGAGATTGTTGGCATTCGAAAGGCGTGTGCGTAGGATTACGAATTTTTCCAACGAGGAGGCTGAAAGTGGGATGATACTGCGTCTAATTAGAGAGTACCAAGTGGAGTGGGTTATCTACGAAGAATATTATGTTGACGATATCGGTTACAAAACATTTTGACAAAACTTAATAGACGCACCTGGGATAAAGTAATGCTCAGCAAACCCAACGAGTTCGATTAATCTCCGATACATAAATACTTCCGTGGTCGTCAAAATAATTATTGCTTAACATAAAAAAAGGGATTTTTTTCTAGCACTCGGCGTGTTCTGGGTTTTAGATAAGCTATCACATTTATTTAATTCAATAATTGTAGTCAATTTAAAAATAACAACACTGAATTTTCTCAGATTTAATTTTTACCGTCTCAAATTTTTATATTTTGTGACAGCTAACATATTTATATTTCTTTGACGGGTTAGATATGACATTTCAAACTTCAACAATTCTTTGTTTTATGATAATAAATAGAAAACCATTCGATTAACTTCACGCCATTCCTTTCTGAACGACACATCCTCCATGCCACCTCCTAAGTGATTTGCAGCCCTCTCCGTCTTTGCCTATGCATTATTCGATAATTGGATTTTAAAGTTTATGTCATGATAAATGTTTAAAACGTTTCAAGAAAACTCGATTGGGAGTTGAATGTAATATCATCTCAGTCACGATTTCTGCACCGGCTGCGTCTGAAACGAAGGACTGTGAAGGAAAGGGAGAAAATACGTGCATGGAATTTCATGATTTCACCTCCAGTCACAGTCTAGAGATCGGTAACTCTTTGATTTGCATACATTTATTCATGGTACCAGATGGCTGCGACGTCTTCCCATTACAATTAAACTAATACCGTCCTCAATATGGCGCTTTGATGGTCGCATTAAGGGCGTAATGGGAGGTTAATTGCTAAAATTTTCTATCATCGAAGGTAATCGAAAACAGGCTTTTACCAAACAGAGGGTAATCAGCATGCAGACTGCGTGTTTGTCTAAACAAAACCCAGAAAACTCCAAGTGCTTATCAATTAGATGAGGTGTTTGACTGGAAACCATTGGAACAAATTTGGCAGGAAATTTACCAGAAATCATAATCCCTTCAGGTCAACCGCAATGAAATTATGGATAGTAAAATCCGTGTGCGGTATACAATCTTTAGCAAACAATATTTAATCGCATAACCAAAGAACTAATATACTGTCAAACAATAGCATTGCATTTATCTTTTATCAAGTGACGAGGAAAAAATAAGTGTATTGTATTTCTTCAAACAAGTTTTTGAATTTTCGTATTATTCTGACCTGTCAAGCGCTTATCGTTGGAGAAGTAAGAGTATAAACATCGCTTTTTTTTGCGTTGATTTTTCAACACCAATAAAAATGTTCATTTACCTGTATATTTCTTAATGCGTGGAGTTACAATTCCAGGTATAAATTAGAGGATGCGTTTAGCTGGAAACCTTCCAGTTTCATTCGAGATGGTTTTATGTATCATTTTGCATTAATTACCGATTTAGAATTGCTAAGAGTGCCATAAATCACTTCCGGGTGACGTCCGCCGAGTTCTGTTGGTGATTTACCGCCGTTCCTGCAGAGGGGTGAACCCTGCGGTGAAGGGCCGGTTGCCATAGTTACGGGTTGGGTCCGCCATATTGCTTCCCTGGCCGAGTTGGATTCCATTGTACCGTGTTCTAGCCCCGTATCTTATCTGTAATGTGTACAGCGACAGCAGTAAGACATTAATAATCTGATACCCCTATCTCACACATTCGATCAATCCGTGGAAAAAGGGAAAATCGCCTGTGTAAACAATGTTATGAGGAATTGTGAGAAGTGGCAGCGACGACCTACCTGGGGCAATAACCCGGAAAGAAAGGGCTAATCGCAATGAGGGCGAATTTGATGGTTTGAAGATTGTGAAATTAGGCAGGGACGATCCAAAAGAATTTTTTTTTTTTCAAAGACTTCAAAAAAAATTAGTAGTGATAAAACTTTGTGCTTGTAATAATTACTTTCGTGTTACTATAAAATGGAATATTATGTCCGTAGGAACGGTGTAACAAGTACATTGAAACGTTTTGTTCAGTTGCGAAGCACAAAAAATCGATAAATTAAATTTTAACAAATTTTGTTTACAAATAAAAATACAAAGTTTTCGAATTTTTATGGATAAAATACTTCATTAATTAGAGTTACATGTTCATGATTTCTGACAAATACGATAGCAAACCACGCAAGACTTACTTTAAAAATATGATATGCCAAAGAACCTTTCCGGTTTATCGCAACAAATGTTAAACTGTCGACCACAAAGTACTTGAAAACGACAACGATAAATTAACTTATTAACAAAGTAAAAAACGTTTTTAAGTTTAAAATAATTTATTGTGGAAGTGTTTCGGTGCATAATACTAATACTGAACTGAGCAATGTTCTGCAGTAAATTATTTTAAACTCAGAAATCCATTTTACTTTTTTAAAAATTTAATGAGGGAATTTAAATAAGGATCTGCTACTTAAATACCTACAAACTATACTACATGGTTCTAGTGAATTGTTTAACGCACCTTGTATAAAGAGAATCCACCATAAAACTAAAGGAAAAGGTCTGCCATCAAAATGAAATTATTTTTAAGATTTAAGAGCAAGTGTGAGTTTTTTTTTATTTGCACCATAAAAATTACGCCCACGCCTTCTCATCATTTCTTACTTCTAAAAAGTGAAAATTTAATAGTGTTGCCGCAAATATTGTTAAACAAAAAACGACAGAGTAATTTGATACTAAAACCACCACAAACTTTGTTTTAAATTTTAGATGTTAGTGGCGATGGCCGACGAGTTATGTCCAGGGAATTTTTGTTCCGTAAAAAGAAATTACAGAATGCAATTAGCCAGATCCTGGCACTGCAGTGCAGCGATATCCACTCAAGTTTTGTATTTCCGTGGCATTTACGGGCAAATATCTGGTCGGAATTCTTTTAGCCGTAATAAAGGGCAATCGAACATCCTCCAAAGAGTCCGTGGAATGTTTTATTGCGCTTTTTCTTGACGTATAAACAGGGCTTAGAACCGTAACGGTTATATTTTATAGCCATCTCAGTGACAGTGAGAGATGCTGACTGTCGGAACGTTATAGTGTTGTAGAAACCCTTTTTGTCGGAGAAAGTTGAACGGTTTAAAGATTTTCCTCTGGGTAGTTTTTTAGTTCTTTAATAAAGGGTTTACAGCATCCCTCGAACGCCACGACAGTAAAAGAGAAAGTCGCCATTCTTTAAGTTTTATTGTCGTGCACGAAAAGAGTTAGTTCTCGATAAAATTGTTTTTTTGAATTTCGGCCTGATGTATTTACGAGGTATTTTCTCTTTTTTTTGCAGGGCCGAACGGGTGTCCAAGACGACGCGGTCGCCAAACTTACACAAGGTTTCAGACGCTGGAACTCGAGAAGGAATTTCATTTCAACCATTACCTGACAAGGCGGAGACGCATAGAAATAGCGCACGCCTTGTGTCTAACGGAGAGACAGATCAAAATCTGGTTTCAGAACAGGAGGATGAAGCTGAAGAAGGAATTAAGAGCGGTGAAAGAGATTAACGAGCAAGCAAGAAGGGAGCGAGAGGAACAAGAAAGGCACAAACAACAGCAGCAAGAAAAGCAGCAGAAAATAGAGCAACAGACGCATTCGTCTATACACCAGCACCACCACGACCCTATGAAAATGAGCTTGGATAAAACCGGTGGTTCGGATCTCCTAAAAGCCGTCTCCAAAGTACCTACATAAAAAAATTGTGACCTAACTAGTGCAAGAAACAGAGTGTCGTGTCACAAAGTTGTCTCGATGTGCGTACTGTTGACTCTAGTGACGAGTTCAAAACTTTTTGTTTTATAAAAAGCTTCGTTATTTGTGTTTCATTCGTTGTACATAAAAGTAGTGTGTTCACGTTAATATTTTATACTTAAAAGTAATTTTTATAGTATTTTTTAAGTTACTCGATCAGGTTTCTGATCTAAACTCATTGACGTTATTTTACGTACCACTGTTGTGATTAATTATTTAAGTTTAACAAGCATTCTAAAATGCGTTTAAATGTTTTTACTTATGTTTTGTCAATATTTGTTTTCCAGTAGTCTTGCTAAATTTGTTGCTTGTTACGTTTTACTTTGTTTTAACTTTGTGCCAAGCTTATATAAGCAACCAGCCATATTATAGTGAACAGGAACTCACTCATATATTTTTACATATATTGAAGTTTCCAGCAGTTTCCAAAATTACAAAAAAAAAAACTGAAACGGCCGAGTATTTTACTCTTAGTACTCTTATACGTAATTTGGTGTCAGGGTAGTAAAAAACCTAAAAATACAGTTTAGTAGTATAAAAACAAAATTAACTTACATACATCTAAGCGTAATTTTCCCTTCTAATTCATAGCTATTGTCGTATCCCAACTCGTCTTCTCGTGTAAAATATTTTCTTAGATTATTGATGTTGTTATGTGTAAAACTATGTAATAGTTTGTTGGCGGGAGCGCCTCATCCACATTTAGATACGTAAAATTGTACAATATTTTCAAAAAGTCACAAATTGTAAATTTTTAACATTTTAAAATGTAAATTTTTTGTTTAATATGTAAAAATAAATACGTATACGCGATTTTTGTTAATTTTTCAAATTATATTTTTTCGGTATTAGTTGTAAAAAAAAGTTCAGTTACTTATCCCATCATCCTTCAAACTTAACGAATATTGTACAGAACAGTTACTGTAAATACATATTAGCTACGGCCATGTAGACGTATTGTTAATGAATTCCCTATATTCAAGCAAACTTGGACTGATTAACGCTTTTAAGGAAACAAAAGCTTACTAGAAGTAGGTTATTACATATTTAGCAAAAACCAGTATAATGTAGTACAAGTACCAATTACTTGCCTAGGAATTTCGTTCATTATTTATTTTAGTCGATGTGTACCTTTGTCAGAAATTAATTTAGCTTCCTCAAAACTCCCCCGTGCCCCCACCAGTGTGATTGTTTAATCGGATGAATTCGTGTCGATTATTTCACAAAATAAACAGACGAATTTATTTTGTACCTAATCCATTTACACGAGAATTAATTTCCACCTCTGCGCAAAATGATCAGCTTCTGTTGGTTTTGTGAAATAAAATGATTGCAGCTCTCTTCAGCCTGTGATAGAATCCATTATGTTTTGTGAAGCTGTATTGACTTACACCTTTAGTTGAAGTACGATAACTGGGTTTGCATTGATTATCAATAAAAATTGTTGCTGTTGTTGAAGTACTGAAAAAGTGCAATACGATTTATGTTATTTTGTATGTTGATTAGTTTTCTAGAAAAGCACGTGCAATCTCTTATCATTTTCCTCGTGAAATGATTCAGAGCATATCTTTGGTACAACACTTTGTTAAGTTTACTTTTGTTAGTAGTCAGTGTAAACCTGCAGTATTGTTTGGGAAAACTTTATAGAAAATCATATCATTTACACAGTGCGGATAATTTAGTTGTGGAACGTTTGTATGACTGTAATTAACGTAATTTATAAAATGTTTATAATATCGTAAGTAGTGTAAGTGTACATGTTTCGTATTGTTTGAGGTAGAACTTACTTCCATACCAGCTCTCCAAGCCGAATTACTCTTGAATGTATTATAAATCGACCGTATCACTTCTATAGTGCTACCATTTGCTTTGATGCCATGTTTCATATATAACTGTATAACCTTATAAGATGTATTGTACAGATTGTCTGAACTGAATAAATATTTCTTTGGAAATACACATTGTCTTAATTGTTAAAGTTAGACATACATGGAATACCCCGAGCTATCTGACCGCAATGCGCAATGTGAATAAGGCAGCACTTGGAATATATCCAAGTTTATCCGAAACACGACGAACATAATAACATTTATAAAATCATTTTGCCACTAAACAGACTGTAATGGGTTTGACATGTTCTTCCGTAAATGTGAGATCATGAAGGTAATGCTTATGGCTAATATCATACATAAATTATTAATAATAATCAAAGGAAGTTCATGGAACTTGGTGGCTTCGATTTAAACTAACTGCATAATTGCATTTCCTGTCTAGACGCTTAGTTCTAGAGTTTTAAAGGACTCAGCAGAACAGGAAATTAAGGCGTAATATATGAAAGAATTTCATAAATACTGTTCGTAGCAACCTCTGTCGATAATAACGAATCTTTTTCATTTAAATTTTGGTTAAGACGATTTTTTTTTTAATAATGACATGTCTTTGAAATGATACTTAAGATGCGTACGAATTGCACATGGAATTAAGTGTTATTTTTTTAACAGTATTATTTTGACACATGAATTCCAAAACAACGAAGTTTACATGATGATATTTTGACCAATTTTTGTCGTTATTTCTGTAACCGTCACTTTCAAACGAATCCCACTGTAGTTGCAAAAGTGATGTATTTTTTTTCGTGTATTTTATCGCAGGCCAAAAACTGGAGTTTGACTTCATACATGCTTTAGGCGGCAATCAGCTCCTAAGCATTCAGCGTTGACGTAAATTTGTACCTAAGTCCATTTTGTCGTAGTGTATGGGTGACGTAAAATTGATAACAAAATGATATTAATTCGATAGATACAAAACGTTATACACTTGAGTAATTGTATGTAATATCAAATGAAGCAGATTTATGGAAATCAAAAAGTATAACTTTTGAAAAATATAGTTTGACTTTACGATTACAGAGATACCAAAATTTTGTTAAAACCGTTGAAAGTTTAGTACTTTTGTTAACAAACAGTTTTCAATCAAAGTTCAGAAAAATTAAAAACGTATCTAGAAACGTCAGATACCCATCCATGAAAACGTCATAAAACCTCAAACATCTTTAATTTCAAAATAATTTAAAGTGACTATGAAATATTCAGAAAACTTAGTGGACAATTACGTATTCATATTTAGAAAGTCCTAATCTTCAGAAGGATTAATTGCATGTGAAAAAATTTAAAATCATAGAAACATGTAAAGTCATAATGGTCACCGTCGATTTGCACCTGCTCCTGTTGTCATAATTCACAAGGACTGCAAATAGTGTCTGCTGCTTTTCACAAGGATAGTGTGACAAAATCGAAATAAATTTGTGAGTAACTATACTTGATTTTAAGTGTTGAATTTTTTCCCAGAATTTAAGTACTATGCTTATAAACAAAAGTTTGAGAACGCCCTTATGATATTTTCGAAATCAGATTTTGTTAAACTTGATTTCAATTTTCACTGAGTATTATTAAATTTTTTTATTAGTACGGACAGTGTGGATAATTTCGGTTTTTTTTAACTTCGTTAGCAACAACGAAACTACATTTCAGTCGGACTGATAAGGGATAAAAGTATACAATTATATACAACACAGTTTTTTTCAATCACTTTGATTACACATATTAAACCATGTATACGGGGGACAACTTTACCATCTAAACCGATTATTTATGTGCCTTCGCCAACGTTATGATTAAAATAACAATAGTTTGCCAGTGCAACGTCAAACACACTGGACGTATCAAAATAGTAATTTTCAATATTTAAAAAATCATCCGGAAGTTTCTGTCATAGTTGGTAAGATATCGAGAAACATGGAGAGCCAATCAAGACTCATTTAGACTTTTTGTTTACACCGTTCCCATGGAAACCACGTTTCTAGTCGCTGTGTTTGGCTGGAATCGGGTCACATTTGAAACAGTAATTCAACTACGGTAGTTCATTGTCATTCTGCGCGAGTGAAATTGATTGATTTTAAATAAAAATAGTTAATTCAGTTTAATATTTAATAAAAACTCGTCTTCTCTCTTACGACGATAAAATTGTAATGAAAAATTTAGCGAGAGCTACCCCCGATTTATTAATAAAAAAAAGTTTTCATAGCAAAATGACAGACTTTCATAAATATTTTAATAGACATAACACGTATCATAAATTTTTGTCGGATGTGCGGTTGTGAAAAAAATAATTTGTTTTGTATGTCTCCTTAGTAATGAGTTAAAACTTAAAGGTATATGGACAAATACTTTTTTGCTTTTATTGAATGTATTTTTGTATTTATTTCCGTCACACAATTCCGTTTATTAATTGCTAATAACAGTCTGTTTTAAATCTTCATATTTAACTCATCAATTAAATTGTGTCCCCCCATTTCCAAAGATCGCGAACCGCTACTGAGTAATCGTCGCAATCAGACACAAACATTTTCGTGAGTGTAATGTTTTAAGACTAAATTTTGATGTCAACGGATATTGTTAAGATAGTTATAATCTTATCCTGCTTTTAAAAACAATATTTTTTAACAGAGTTTACGGTCAAAAATAGGTATAAATGAACAAAAATATATTAGTAGATATAGTTAGAGCTCATGTATTTTGAAAATGTATTAGAATTGTAGGAATTCAAAAAAATAAAATGATATTACAGTGCATTTTTTAAAACGTCGTCAATATTTTGAAAAAGTTGTATAAAAATAATTTAAGTTAATGTTCTGTGATCTGCAAATCAGTGTTAGAGAATCTTGCCATAATTTCTAATAAGTGGGGTTATGTATTTCCAAATTAAATTTTAAGATTCCATTTTACCAATCATCTTTGTTAGGAAAACCCTCATACGTGAATTTAAAAATAGGGTTAATCTTTAAACCACATCAGATCAAGGAACATGTTACGCTACAAATTTCAACTGAGAGTTATACTTAAGAAAATTAGAAACAATTTTTTTTCATTCTTTAGGTACGGGAATAATCGATATTGCATTTTCCACGATATACAGAAACGCGACACCTGCACTATCGCATTCCATGAACTGTGAAGTTACGCGTACGTAAAAATAAGTAGGTACGTTAGAATGTTTCTCGTAGCTGGCAAAAATTCATAGGGGAGTAGTTTAATAAAACTAAACGGAATCAGATTTTTTAACACCCTGCCTTGAACACGTTCAGAGCTAATTGTTCCAAAAATTCGAAAATATTATAGTAGTTGAAAGAAATAAAACAATACAACACCTAGAGTTTGTGATTGAACAATTCAAACAAATACATTAAAATAAACAGAAAACAACAAATTCGGGGACATCACATAATTTGTGATAGCACAATTTTCGAGACTACTGTAACAATCAACATATTAAAATACGTCTTACCTATTATTTAATTTAAATATATCATAATATCATAAAACTGCTTTGAACTGCCTCATAGAGCATAACATCCACATCAATGTTATATTTCGCTGATGATCTTACAAAAGATTATTGTATACCTTAATTACAACAAAAAGTTAAGACTGCAGAAGCAAGAAACACACAATCTATATTTTTTAATAATTCGTTAACAGACTGCATAAATAAAGACAGAAATAGACTTTTTATTAGACAAAATCGTTTATTAGATGTCATATCACTAATTTTACGAGTTTTAAAATTTTATGATCGTTTCTTGAAAATAGCTCATAAGCGATTTTTGGAACAGTTTTATCTTTTTTACAACACAATTTAATTAACAAAATTAAATTTTAAAGTAAGTTGGTCGCAACTTGTTATTATTGGCACAAAATCATTGAAAGATCGAAATCAGTAGTTTAGATTTCGTATCGTCAATAAAAGTCACCAAAGGAGGTAGTTGCCCCCAACAAATTTAATAGTGGCAAAACAGTTAACTGATGAGTGCTGATAATTTATATAAATAAAAAAAATAATATACCTAAATAAATTGACCAACTAAATTTCCATGATATTATTTAAAAAATTTTGACATACGTTAGTTTCTTTAAGTAATGTTGTTTCCTGAACAACATTACTTAAAGACATTTAGGACACTGATGTCTTTAAGAATGACATTAGCGAATTCAGCAGATTTAGATCTGCCTTTGAGCAAATGTAGCGATCGCTGTTATTTCAAAAAATGAAAAACTGTAATTTAGACGAAACACTTTAATTACTGTACTTTATCGACTATTAAGGTGATCAACATTATATTTTCCATACACACCTTCAGTGGCAAGTCACAGCCTCTAATTTACTTTTATACATCAAATATGTAAGTATATATAGGTACTCATACACATGCTTTGGAATTTAAGTGTGATGTTGCCACTGTCTTCACCGATTTTAGTACCTACAGCATTTGTCAGCGTGAACGTCAATCGACAAATATGTAAGTTGTCAGCTTTCGGTTTTAGTGATCAGTTAGTGTCTTACAGTTAGATAGAATCGTTTCTAACATGTCACTCGCAACTTGTAAATGTAACCTGCCACATTTCGACACCACAACATCAAATATACCTCAAGGCTCGCCCAGTGATCCCTTAATTTTTTATTTATGTATAAATGATGTTAAAAATACGTTGTTCAATATTTGACTTTTATCGTCCACAGGCAATTTGAAAATTTTAATGAAGATTAAGTTTTATGACTTTTGGACTACAATCTATGTCGCATATATTTTAGCACTAGCCGTGGCTAAATGTGTGTTCAACCAAGGTTTACAAAATGGATGAAACACATAGGGTAAATGTGTACAAGAGTGCGAATATGTATAAGAGTACGCACTGATGATTTCTGCTTATTAGTGCCATCTGGGTAAGATGAAGTTATACCATTCAGAATTTAATGCTAAACCTGAGATAAAGGTGAAAAAGTCACCTGAATATAGTTTATAGTTTGGTCGTACTGACGATTTTATGTTCACACGTTGTGCGGATGTAATTTTTGCCGCTCTTAGTTTTA